CTATTTAATTGATATTTAAACCGGTTTACGGTTTACGAGGAGCTGAACGTGAGTAGCACGTGACACCTCCATAAATTTTGTAAGTCAAACTTGATTGGGATTTTGTGAAATTGTGATAAAGCTGGGGGTACAACGGACATTTTACAATGTTAACGGCGTTAAGAAAAGAACGTTAAGTCTTCGGTGGAAACTTAACGAACTTCAAACTTTTGATTTCACCGTCAAAATCAAAATCCGGGACGATAATTCTCACGTTCTCCATCACTTTCCCTCGATCCAAACCAGAGCGAAGAGTGGGAACTACACGCGAATCACGTCAACGTAATGCGATTCATGGAATGTGAATTTTGAATTCGAGGAAGAAGACGAAATCGGAGCATTGTTGGATCGATTTTTGAAGTTTGGAGGAGGAAATGATGGCGTCGGATCCAAAACTGAAGGCTGAGATCGGAGCCGATGGTCTTGCAAGAGAAGCTCCTGTTATTGCTTACACAGAGAAGGTAAATTTTACTCTATGGATGTATATTCTGTATTATCTCCCAACAAGTGTTCGTGTGATTCTCTTTTACTGAACGCGATTTGATGATTTTGTATGAATCAGATCATTGAGGAAGAGCAAGTTCAATTGAGGAAGTAAGTACTTGTTTCTAATTCTGGGATTTTGTTTGATCGATTTGTTCATTTTTGAAGGAATGTAGTGTGCATTTTACGCTCTTAGATTCTCCTTTTGGGCTGCTTGATCTTAAGTCTCAGCTAGTGTTACTTGCTTTAGGAGTGCCTTTTTTTTCTCCTGAATCTTAGACATGACGAAATTTTATGGAGGAAACACATAAACTTGCTGAAGAATTTGGTCAGTAGTTATTGCAGAATCGTCTTATGAAATCTGCCTTATGCATGTTGTTTAGCTTGATTGTTTATCAAAAATCAGATAACTGAGATCTGTGGAGTAATTTTTTTTACTTAGCCACTGTCAGGGGTCTTGGAGTTTAACATGATGAATAGATATATGTTGCATTCTTCTGTGTGTGTCTGTTTTAAGTTAGATTAGGGTAAAGATGATCCTAGAGAATACCGGTTTCTCTATTAGGGGATTTGAGAGACTTTTGGAACATTGTTGCTCTAAGAATGTGAATGTAGTTGTTTCTTCAGCTCGTCTTCTGTGAAACTTCCTTCTAATGAGATTCTTTATGTCATCATGTTATAGATACATTGAGGAGAACTATACAAAAATCAGGGATGTCGAAAGGGAATTTGGAAACCTCACAATGGAATTGAAACTTACTGCTGGACCTAAGAAAGCAGGTTCAGCTAGTTAACTTTCTTTTTCTTTACTCAATGTGACATGGTTTATTGGTTTTGTTACATAGAACAGTCTTATTGATTAAGTTTTTTCTTTTCTTCTGTTGTCCATACCTAAAGCGATGGAACACTTGAGAAAGAAAATTGAAATCTCAACTGAAAGGATCCATGTTGCTAAGTTGGAAGAAGAAGAAGCGCGAAAGGTTTCTTATCTCTCTCTTTGATTTATGTATCTCAATGTTTTTGCCTGTCTTGTTCTGTTTAACCTCACATGGCATTTAGAATTAGTTATAGGTGGATGTGAACATTTCTATTACCTGTTTGTGCCTCATAGCAAAATAAGTTATATGAATGGATATTTCAGATATCATGGTCTGATGATTAATTTCAAACATTACTGAGTAAAAGAATGTTTTGCTAATCTTTCCAGTGCTGGAGTATCGTGTTTCATGTCGTGCTGTGACCTATAGGAATTCAAATCTTCTTTAGATTGTTTAACCTTACCTTTGAAGTCTAGAGATTGTTAGTTAACCTCTTTTCTCTTATTAAGCATTTGAAGCAGCATCAAAAGTTGTAAAGGATGAAGAAGCAGCAAAACAGAGTCTTTGCGAAGATTTAAACCGTCTGGTATGTATATCTGTTAAAAACTGATAACATGAATTAAATTTTTCCCATTGAGAGACATTTAAATCACAATCTTTTCTAAAATGTAACCATAGGTACAACAAAGCAGCAATACGCAGTACGCCAGACTTGAGGAATTAAAAAGAAGACTAGAAGCGCTGAATCCAAATAGATCATCTACTTCTATTCAGCAAGTAAACAATCTCACCTTCTAGTTAATATTCCATCTGTTTCCAGTAATGCAACTTATTCTAACTGTACAGACATCAGATAATTCCTGCATGAGTATGTTGCTAACCACAGGTAATACTTTGCAAATGATACTTGAATAATCAAATCTATTTACTTGGCCATCAGTGATACACGTCAGATGTTTTTAATCTCTGATTGTGTTCCATATTTAGGTCCAAGAACCGGAGACTAAATCTGTAGTAGACAGCTCACCAGCAGCCAATGCTAATGAGACTCACCCGGGAAAACCAGAAAATAACCATGGGAACGAGGAGGGAGGCAAAGAACATGGAAAGAGGCCAGCAACAGGCCAACAGCTGAAGGAGAATCAAAAGCGAAAAAGAAACCACAGAATCAAGGAAAGGGAAGAGGAATTGGAGTCATGAACAAAGGCAGAGGAGGTTGGACAGGTGCTGGATTCGATGTCGATGGTAGAACTTGAGGATACATATATCTATAAAATACATATACCGAAAGCCGCCTTTTCGAATCAGAAGTATGTCAAATATATTACTACCAGGTACGTTCTATTCATCTTTTAACATCGATGGACCTGTACGTAGCCACAGAGACCTCTCATTCTCTCATACACTTTTGTTACTGATAAAAAAAAAACCATTCAATCATATTTGGCTGTTCATTGATCATCTCTTGTGTGCGTCTCCAATTTTATGCAATTTGGTTGATCTGATAATCTGAGAGCAGTTGGATTTTATTGTCTAATATGTTAATGATATGGAGGGGAAGTTTCTTATGATTAGTAATCATAGAATTTAGAAAGTTATAAAGATATGAATCGCAATTTGGGCTCTCTAGCTTGATCGAAATAAAAATTTGGGATCTCCTGAATTAACTGGAACTGATGGTAGACAAAGGTCAAAAGAGTAACAGTAAATCTTAATGCTTCCTTCTTCTCTTGCTCTGTATAATAATGTGAAATTTGAACGGATCTGACTGCAGATTTCATGTTTTGTTTTGTAGTTACCAAATCAACAAACCGACGCCGTCAAAATCCTTCGCCTCCGGATATCTCCACCAATCTTCAGCTGCTTCTCCTCTGCAACAACTTTCCGGCGTCCGTAACTTCTCATCTCCCAGCAGTGATTTCAACAGGTATTTTAAAACCTAATGATTTCGTTAAAAGCTTTGTGAAGTTTCGATTTGAGTTCAGATTTTCAGTAGAAACCTATGGATTTGATCGGTTAGGTTTAACGGATCTTCGCTTTTTGTAGCTACAACATTAATCCGCCGTCTAACTGGGGAATCCGAATCGTGCCGGAGAGGAAAGCTTGTGTGATTGAGCGGTTTGGTAAATTCCGCAAGACTTTGCCGGCGGGGATTCACTTTCATGTTCCGCTTGTGGATTGTATTGCTTATGTGAAGAAGCGATTCCTATTGGTAATCAGACTGCGACCACAAAGGATAACGTTAGCATCTACATCGATGGTGTTCTCAACATTAAGGTTTATCTTCGTTTCAGATTCCAATTTTGTATACAATTTCGCTATTCTTCCTGTTTGGCTTATGTTAATTTGTCATTCGTCTTGAGTTTCCTTACAGCTTGTAATAACGGCTGCATCAGAAGAAGCATTTCCTTATCCTAGTGGTTGATTCCGACCGGCCGGCGTTCAAATTGATGCATTTGCCGACCGGCGTCGACTTCCTCTCCGATGCAGATTTCCGGCGATTTCTTGGTGGAGCCATGGATGGCGTCTCTGGAACTCGTGTGCCATTGTTGTAAGACAAATCCTGTAACTGTGCTTTTAATTACATTTGATTGAATCGTCTGCGACTGTTAACAAATCATGAAAATTGAGCTATTGTATATAAATTCCTACACTATATATGTTCCATCTGTTAAAACCCGAGTTTAACAGACCAGTCGAAACTCGGTAATAACAATACTCTTATCACAGCTAAATGAACTAGACTTACTAGTGAATATTCTTGACCAAGATATCGAGAATCTGTAAGCATCCATTCTCAGATCTTTCAGCAGGTCTATGTCATTCAGTGATAGCAAAACAACAAAGAAAGGTTCTTGCTTCTGAGATTCTCTCATTTGTGTCAATGTTGCGTCTTATCTTAGATTTGTTTGGATGATGTTGCTCTTCCAAGAAGAAACCCAACTTTTATCTTCAAGGCTTAAGTAAACTAATGTGTCTTTCTTAAATTAAAATTGCTCATTCTTGTCGTTTCTTCATTTTTTCACCGGTTAAATGTAGAATCAGAATTCATATATATCTTCCAATCTTTACTATGAGCTGCTCCGTTTCACAACAATTTTGTATTCCTGGACAATCATCTCTTAACAACATCTAGCCTTCAGTGGCGTATCTTCAATTCTTTTTTGGCAATAGTAGATCCCTCCTTGTCCCTTGAACCAACTATCATTTTATGTCTTTTAGCTCTTCTTGTTTTCAAATGTGTTATAACACTCTTTTTATATTATAATCCACACTCTTTTCATCAAAATTTCAGCTATTGTACATAAGAGCCAATTCCTAGGGCTGTTTTCAGCAAAAGGCGAAGGAAGCCACTAAAGATCTGAAAGATGCAATCAATAAGAATTTATCCTAAAATGTCTACTTGTTTTGACTCTCACACTCGAATAATGGGATTTAAATGTTCATGGATTGACTTAATTCATATATTTAGGGGACCAAAAAAAAACCTTTTGAATATTTAGTGAAGTAGATTTGTTTCAATTTTTTACTCCATGAAAGTGATAAATATCATGATGAAAAGGATAAGTCTCAACATATTGATTTTTGATTTTTTTGTGTCGTTGATAAAAAAAACTTGGTGGGCAAGGTCTTAATCTGTATTAATATAGGGTTTTAGGAGAATAAGATCACCATTTCTTCAATTAGGGTTTGTTTATTTTAATCTCTTTCTTTTCCACAAGAACATCCTAGTTCATGTCTCTGCTTCTCCGACGGCTCTCGAAGCTCAGCTCTGAGAAACCTGCGTTGGTAACATCCTCGGTTCTCCGTCGTTCTAATGGCTTCTCGTCTTCCTCGCTGCAAACTCCTCCGTGTACCATCGTCGGCGCCGCTCCTTGTGGAGCGGATCTCGGGAAACTCGTGATTATGAATGCTACTAAAAATGGCTGCACTCATTTGGAGAAGAAGGTGCCTATGGAGTTGGTGTATAGTGATCCAATGGTGACGATAGGGGCATCTCATGGCTGGGTTGCTACTCGGAAGCACGACGGAATCGTGCGTCTCCAAGACGATCTAAACCCATATGCATCGGATACAGATCCGAAACGCATCTCGCTGCCTCCTCTCGTGACTCTGCCTCGTTGCCAAACCCAAGTTGTGACCAACGTGGCCATGTCCTCGTCTTCCCCGGAGGATGAGGACTGTGTTGTGGCTGTCAAGTTCTTGGGGTCTCAACTCAGCTTTTGCAGACCCGCTCAAGCTAATTCCGAGTGGATCAACTTCAGGATCGCTAGCCCCTGCTTCTACTCCTCCCCTGTCATGTTTTCCAAGACACATGACATGTTTTGCATTCCCGGATCCGGAGGCCATCTCATCGGATCATGGGATCCTCGGGCACACAAGCACAAACCCAAGTTCCAGAGGTTGCGATTCCAAAACCTTCCCGAGCTGACCAAGACCAAACGGGAGCTTTTGCAATCGTGTTGCACGAGTGAACACTTGGTGGAGTCGAGAACCACCGGTGAAACGTTCTTGGTTAAGTTATACCGGAGGGCCACCGCCAGTGGTACCGTGAAAATGCAAACGAAAGCTCTAATGGTCTTCAAGCTTGATGAAGAAGGAAACGCTGTTTACACTCAAGACATTGGAGATCTCAGCATTTTCATCTCAAAGTCTGAACCGTTCGCTGTCCCTGCTTCTTCCTTCCCTGGCATGGCCCCTAACTACGTCCAATTCTTCGACGTCGAAGAGAGCATCTCCGCCAGTCTGCCTCGTTCATCCATCGTTGGTGGAAACTGTACATTCAACGCACCTTACCAGATTCCACCTCAGAACATAGGCTAGTGGTTTTGAATTGAGTCTACTAGTTGGTTGGAATTGAGTCTACTAGTGCTTTTGAGTTGAGTCTTCCATTGTTTGAGTCTGTCTTTTCTATTAAACCTTTCAAAAATAAAATCTTCTGTGTTTATATAAGAGAAAGGTAAGCAATGCAGATTGGACTGTGTTTTATGTTTTTTTGCTTCGATACATTAATATAGTACCTAAAATGCTTACATTTGAAAATTCTCATAAGGACTCTATTATTTCACATTTGAAAGTTTAAGAGTAATGTAGTCTTTCACATTTGTTTCATAGTATTAGAAGAAAGATCTCTTTTGAACTATGATTCACTCACATTAGACATATATAGCGTTACCTTCATTAATAATACATTTTCAACTCTGGACTAATCATGGTTGCCCTGAATTGCTAGTCACTTTAAAATGAATATTTGTATCATAAAAATCGGCATTATTAACTAAAATAGAGAATTGATCAGCAAATCAATATTATATATATATATATATATATATATATATATATATATTTGAATTTACCATTGCATTTTTAAGGAGAAATCGATTTTTTCTGACAAACGAGCTTTATATTAAAACTCTCGAAATGCTGATTTGTTTCAATTTTTAAATATTTAGTAAAGTAGATTTGTTTCAATTTTTTACTCCACGAAGATAAAAGTGATAAATATCAATAATGAAAAGGATAAATCTCAACATATTGCATTTTTTTTTGATAAAAAAACTTGGTGGGAAAGGCCTTAAATATAGGGTTTTAGGATCACCATTTCTTCAATTAGGGCTTCTTTATTTGAATCTCTTGATTTTCCATAAGAACACATCCTAGTTCATGTCTCTGCTTCTAAGACGGCTCTCGAGGCTCCGCCTTGGGAAACCTTTGCTGGTAAGATCCTCGGTTCTTCTTTCTAATGGCTTCTCATCTTCCTCGCTGCAAACTCCTCCTTGTTCCATCCTCTACGTCACTCCTTGTGGAGCTGATCTCGGAAAACTCGTGATTTCGAATGCTGATGCACGTCACTGCATTAAATTGGAAAAGAAGGTGCCTCTGGAGTTGGTGGATAGTGATCCAATGGTGACGATAGGGGCATCACATGGCTGGGTAGCTACTTTGAAAGACGACGGAATCGTGCGTCTCCAAGACGATCTAAACCCATATGCATCGGATACAGATCCGAAACGCATCTCGCTGCCTCCTCTTGTGACTCTGCCTGGTTGCCAAACACAAGTTGTGACCAACGTGGCCATGTCCTCGTCTTCCCCGGAGGATGAGGACTGTGTTGTGGCTGTCAAGTTCTTGGGGTCTCAACTCAGCTTTTGCAGACCCGCTCAAGCTAACTCCGAGTGGCTCAACTTCAGGATCGCTAGCCCCTGCTTCTACTCCTCCCCTGTCATGTTTTCCAAGAAACATGACATGTTTCGCTTTCCCGGATCTGGAGGCCACCTCATTGGATCATGGGATCCTCGGGCACACAAGCACAAACCCAAGTTCCAGAGGTTGCGATTCCAGAACCTTCCCGAGCTGACCAAGACCAAACGGGAGCTTTTGCAATCGTGTTGCACGAGTGAACACTTGGTGGAGTCACGATCCACCGATGAAACGTTCTTGGTTAAGTTATACCGGAAGGTCACGGCCAGTGGTACCGTGAAAATGCAAACGAAAGCTCTAATGGTCTTCAAGCTTGACGAAGAAGGAAACGCGGTCTACACTAAAGACATCGGAGATCTCTGCATTTTCATCTCACAGGCTGAACCGTTTGCTGTCCCTGGCTTGTGCCCTAACTGGGTACGAGTCTTGGATATCGAAGAAAGCATCTCTTTCTATCTGCCTGATTCCTCCATCTGTGGTGGAAATTGTTCAAAACGAGCACCTTACCATATTCCACCTCAAAATATAGTCTAGCTATTAGTTTGGGAGTTAGAGTCTGAGTCTAGAGTCTGTCTTTTCTCTTAATTAAACCTTGGAAACATCAAACCTGTTTTTGTCTATGGTTTTTGAGATTGATTGATATGCATTTGGTCTTGGAGAAGTGGAGGTTTTTTCTCTCATTAGTCTCCCAACTAATTTCCAAGTAAGTTATGCTTAAACTATATCCAGTTAGCAGCAATCCCTCATCTGTCATGCTGCTCTTTTCCTCCATAACTCATATATGTAGGATTTGATAGATATATGAACATTTAATCGAATGGTGTGACACCTCTTTATGCAGTGGCTATCAATCAGCATACATTACACATCAAATCTACTGCTGAATAAAATTATAATAGAAAGTAGGACGCCGATCATATCGTAGATACACCAATGCCACATCTTATCTCATAGTTACACACTAATTAATTACGACTAGTACATTTTCAACTTGGTGCTTACCTTGTATTGTAAGTCACTGGAAAGTGAAAGTTTGTCTCAGTAAAACCGCCTTCATGCTTAACTAAAGATAGAGAAAAGTGATCAGCAAATCAATTTCACTGACATCAAAAGTCGATCATGGAATATTTCTTCTGTGTTTGGAAACCAAGCAAGAAAAGAAGTAACTTAGTTACAGTTGATAATTCTGACAAAAATATATTATGGGTCCAACTTTTCTCCCACGAAAATTGAGGGGTTTTTATGCGATTCACAAAACATTGAGGATTTTTTATGCAATTTAAAAATCTCTCAATCCTAGTTTTCCGGCGATTTTTTGCTCCAGAGCCATGGATGGCGTCTCTCGAACTCGTGTGCCATTGTTGTAAGACAAAGCTTTTAATTCCTCTATTAAATGTTTCGTTTTTTTTTTATCAATTACATTTGATTTCTGCGACAGTAACAAAAATCATGAAAATTGAGCTATTGTATGAAGTATATAAATTCCTACACTATGTTCTGTCTTTGATCTCTCTCTCATTTCTCTTGAAATTTGTACTCTTTTTGTTCTGTTGCCTCCTGTAGCTTGCTGGAATCTGATGAAGTAGAGCCGCTAAGTATTCTTTGAAACCATCGAGCAGAAGCTTTAGGTATCCTTGTGAGATTGTTCTTGTAGTCAACGTAGTAGATCCCGAACCGGACCGTGTATCCTGAGTTCCATTCCCAATTGTCTAGCAATGACCACACAAAATATCCTCTTACATCGCATTCATCAGTCCTGCAAATTTACATTTTTTTTTTTTAACTTAAAAGACTTTTGTGAAAGAATGAATCTTTTTGCAAAGTGAAACACTTTACCTTATGGCAGCTGATAAGTTTGAGAGGTAATCTCTGTGGAAGCTAATCCTCTTGTTATCTTTTAATGCTTTCTCCATGTCTATGAATGGCTTGTTTTTCTCATCCATGCCTGCGAATATCAACAACCACTTGATGTTACATTTTTGATTGATGGTTGTGTGAATCACATTTTGGGGGTTTGAGATATTTACCGTTTTCTGTGATGAATACAGGTGGGTTTCCATACATGTCTTTAAGATACACTGCCAGTTTCCTGATTCCCCATGGGACAATGTGTAGCCAGCTTGATCCTGCCTGTTTCAAGTAAGTTGTTTCTCATCAAATACAACTGTTTAGTTTCTTTGAAGAGCCAGTATGGATTAGGGAACATCTTCGGGTTTCTGTCAGAAGAAATACATACTTTTTCTCCTATAGCTACTCCTCCACGAAAAGCTACAACAATTAGGAGCAAATATTAGCTTTGTTCTTTTGTGTTGTAGCAGTAATGAGAATGATATGAGAACTGGTGTTTCTTACAGCTTGTAATAACCGCTGAATCAGAAGAAGCATCCCGCAGTATCAGTTTCCTTATCCTAGTTCTGTCATTCCTCGCGTATAATGCGGTGTAGTGGTTGATTCCCACGTAATCAAATGCCCCTTTTATAGATTGAGACATCTCTGGTGTTATCTTAGGTAGTCTCTCTTCCACTAGACTCTTCATTGAAGCTGGATAGTCTCCATAGATTAGAGGATCCATAAACCTATTTTAAATCTCATTCTGTCAATTTGGTCTTTTTTCTCTTTTAGACTTTTATATGCAAATGTTCAGATAAAAGGATCTTATATTTACCATCCAATCCCAAAATCCATTGCTCTACGAGCTGCATCTTTGTCCTCATCACAATCAGACATTGGCTCATACCATTTTGCATCTAATGATATCCCGATTTGACCACGTTGTTTCTCCTTGCATATAGAAAATTTCCCACATTTTATTCTGCACTATGAATTATAAGATATTAAGATTGTTCCGTTCTGTTTTCTTACCTTGAAGTTTCTCTGGTAGGTGTGGTAAGCAGCAGCATGAGACAAGAGAATGTTATGAGCTACAACATACGGTTCGACCGATGACTTCCCCTCCTTACAGAACCAATGTCCTAGAAGTGAGCACCTCCCTGGAGCTTGTATCCCTGTGTCATAGCCTTGGATCGATACCCCATGAGGCTCATTGATAGTGATCCAGTACTTCACTCTATCTCCAAATGCTTTGAAACAGGTGAATGCATAATGCTCAAAATCTTCCCTGCACCATTTTTTTAGCTTATGATTTCGTAACCATCTCACCATATCAAGATTTCACATTTTTATCCAAAGATCATATACTTACACGACTTCTCTGCTTAGCCATCCTTCATATCTGTCTTCTAAAGCTTGTGGGAGATCCCAGTGATACAATGTCACGTAAGGTTTGATTCCTTTGGCTAAAAGAGCATCTATTAGGCTGTTATAGTACTTAACTCCATCTGGGTTCACTTCCCCTGTTCCATCTGTTAAAACCTGAGTTTAATAGACTCGTCGAAACTCGGTTATAACAATACTCTTATCACAGCTAAATGAACTAGACTTACTAGGGAATATTCTTGACCAAGATATAGAGAATCTGTAAGCATCCATTCTCAGATCTTTCATCAGGTCTATGTCACTCTGTGATAGCAAAAAAACAAAGAAAGGTTCTTGCTTCTTAGATTGTCTCATTTGTGTCCTGTTGCGTCTTATCTTAGATTTGTTTGGATGAGGTTGCTCTGTCAAGAAGCAACCCGACATTTATCTTCAAGCTGAAGTCAACAAATGTGTTCTTTTTAGGTAAAACTTACATGAAACCTGTGATATTGATCGACCGTAGTATCCGCATTGCTGAAATCCAGTATCTTTCCTGTTGATCAAGAACGATACCATTGACTTAAATGAAATCTTGATTTTTCTGGGTTCTTTGTGACATTTTCTGGGTTTGTTTCTTTGATACCTGGTTTCTTCGTGAAAGTGTCCCATATGCTTTGTCCTTTGTTTCCTTCTTTCACAGCTCCTTCGAACTAATTTTCTTGCAAGAAAATGTTGCGATTGTCAAAAATCTTTTGAAATCTTCTTTCTTTCTTGGATCAGTTTGGAGAAGAAGAATGTCACCTGGTAAGCTGAAGAGGCTGTTCCGAATACAAACCCATCTGGAAAATCTGCTCTGCTGATAGATTCTGACGAAACATGATCAAGAGGCACGAAGAAGACGACCAAGAACGGAAGCAGAACCAGGACTAGTCTCATTAAAGATTCCATCTTTGGGTCGCATGAATAGAGTAAGTGAGAGAGAGAGATAAAGGGAAGCAATTTTTTGGTGAATGAAAGATTTGGAGGCAAGTTTTTGTGTGTGTTTTTAATTTGTAAAGTTGAAGAAGAAAGAGGAAGAGTGCAAAAGAAAAGCTCTCGTCTTTTGAAGGCTCTTCTTTGGTGTTGACATTTGTTGTTGATTTGTTCACTCTACTTTTACAGTACACGTTTCTTATACTTGTGCCAAAAACTTTAAAAGAAAAGTGTACTCTTAAGATAAAAAGTTTGTTACTAGAGACATTGATTCACCTAATTAACTTACCGATGTTCTTTATTTTATTTGTCGATGATCTTGTTATTTTTGTATATAGTCTAGTTTTTTCTGAATTGAGTCCGACTCTAGAGTCTATCTTTTCTCTTAAAACCTATGTAAGAGGATACCAAGAGAAAGCTAACAAGGGCCTATGGGCCATGTTGTTTAATTAAGGCCCAAATGTTAAGTGGGTTTGTTCTGTGTTGTTAAAATTGAATTTTAGGTCATCTTCTCACTCCATTAGTAAAATTACTCATTTTTGCTTAAACTCTTCAATCGATTGTGCTTTTTGTTTGTTTAGGGTTTTAGCTTTTTCAAGTTAAAACCTTTTTTTCCTTAAATCCGAAGAAGAAGAATCAATTGAATCTATGGCGATGGCTATGAGACTCCCGGCGATATCTAGAGCGGTGACGGAAGTGGCTTCGGCTCCGGTTGGTTTGAGACGGCTGTTCTGTTCAAATGCTTCAAGGTTCTCTTTTTTGTCTCCACAAGCTGAATCCCAAACACCGGCTCGTCCTCAGGCTGAACCTAGCACCAATCTCTTCGTCTCCGGTAACAAACCCCTTTTAGTCTCTCAATTCATTTCTGGGTTTTTGGGGTTTATCGTTGTTCGAGTCTATGTGGGTTTCTATTTGATGCTTTTTTAAAGATCCTTCCTTTTGAATTGAGATTTAGACTATCAGGTTCTTAGAACATCAACGAAGATGTATCTCTACTTACTTTTTTAATTTCCCCTGAAGAATCCAAAATCATATAACCTATGAAGTATAAGTAGCTTTGAACATTTGATTAGAACTGAATGTTTTAGATTTAGATTTTGATTTATGTATTTGCAACGAGAGATGGTTTTGTATGATTTAAATTTCTTCCTAGTGTCAATTCGTTTTGATATGCAGCTTAACATTGGGCTTTGATGCATATACACTCTGTTTCTCACTTAGTCACTTTGATCACATAGTCATTGAATATCTGAAAGTTTGGTCAAGTGCCATGTATATAGCACATCTAATACGTACATGTTATGTCTGATTACTATCTTTTCGTAAGCCACCTAAGTCCTATTTAGTTTAGATGCTGTGTCTCAGTTTCCTCAAGTGTCTTTTAGTCATGTTATACTTATTCATGAAGCTGAAAAGTTTATAGCTAAAGGACTATCTTTGTGCCGCTGGATATTTTCAGGGCTTAGTAAGCGCACCACTTCTGAAGGACTTAGGACCGCGTTTGCTCAGTTTGGAGAAGTTGCTGATGGTGTGTTCCTTGTTATGACACTTTATGCCACTTTATGCGCATCAGATTAGTCCTGAAAAAAACTAAGTGTAATGATTCCTTTCTCTCAAATTGCTTTTGTAGCTAAGGTTGTCACAGACAGAGTCTCAGGATATTCCAAAGGGTTTGGATTTGTTAGATATGCCACCTTAGAAGATTCTGCAAAAGGCATAGCTGGAATGGATGGGAAGGTACTATTCATTCTAATATCCATTCCTCGATTACTCAAATCAAAATCTATTAAGAGATTTACACTGACAGTTACCAAATGGCTAATCTCCTCTTTGTGCTTCTCTGCAGTTTCTTGATGGCTGGGTCATATTCGCAGAGTATGCAAGACCAAGAGAGCAATCGCAGCCATATCAACCTCAGAACAACATGTCTCGTCCTCCATACTATGGTAACCGCTAGAGAAACAGCTTTGTTCGATTCTTATGAATCTTTATATTCATATTTATGCTTCATTGTATCCTCTTCTATGATCGAACTGTTTTGCTTCGTCTCTTGTTATTGCCTTAGAAGATCAAAAACTTCAAATTATATTTTGAAGGAATAATCAGAAACTGTCATTTACAAGAAAAAGTATTAAGTATAATAGCTTTTTAAGAGAAAGAGATCAGGATTTTGCTTATATGGCTAAGTCTCAAAGACTTTAAACGTCACCGTTTTTTTTTTGTTTGTGGTTTTCTTGATTGGACCGGTTTAAATTGTTATTGATAGGGTTCTCAAAAATTCAGATCCGGTTTTTGTTGATTTTTGGTCTACCACAATATCTTTCAATATATATGCTTCTACTTTTGTTTTGATTTCTTTATTATTTTTCTCACTATGAATTTTTTTTGTGAACCAAAAAAATTTAGACCCCAATCTAATTGATCGTTTTCATAAAACTCAATGGGTCCGTAACCATTAGCCAATCATTAACTCACAATTTTCGTTTAGATGCAACCACTTAACATTAAAAGTGATGATTATAACAAATGGGAATAAGTCATTGGGCCACAACATGCAAAAACAACATTGAGTTCTCACAATTTCACGTGGAGATGTCTAGAATCTATACGAACATTTTTGTATAACATGTGGACCGAAAAAAACACAAAGAAATATCATCCCAAATACTAATGGTGTACATAAATTTATGCAATAAATGTTATAAAGACAAAAAAAGGAAACAAAATTATGCAAAGAGATACCGTTCATACTATAACATTCCTTCGCTGTCCTATTACGTTTGGTGAGACAATTCCCTCTTTCTCATGCAACCAAATTTGTATTTTAATTTCACAACTCATCATATTACTCCAAAATCATAACGATACCCATTTTTGGATTGTTCTTAGCTTATAATGGTAATAGTGATATGTTTTGTTGTTTTGATCTATAATCCTTAGACGCAATTAAAAGTTAGTTGTAATTACATATGTCGACCGCAACGTGTACAAATGTTTCTTTGTTTTGTGAAGTGGGCACAAGTCAAATTTAACTACCTAAACTAATCAAATGGTAATGTTTCCAATCGGATAACGTATCAGTTCTTTTCTTTCTTGTAATTTCTCATTCTATTCGATCGTGTGGGTTAGGATTATAGATTCAAATCAATGTTCCATCAATATATCTTATGATTACATTCGTTGGCCCATGACACCTAGCAAGTAGCAACATAACAAAACTGATTAGTTTCATTTTTCATATAAACTACAAAGTCGTGGTATTAATGAGAAAATGAAGGCATGCATATTTATATTATTTTAGTTTAGTAAAAACAAGTTATAGCAAGATGAGTCATCGTCGTTTTTGTTGCGCCGCATGAGTGATTACTTTCAAATGTGACATCATTTTAGATGAGTCGTTCTCTGTGGTTGAATTATGGCTTTAAAACGAAGCTGTTTAATTATACGTTTCATGAATTAAGTTGGACCATTCCATATTCTATATCGTTAGGAGATATAAGCCTGATCTGATGATCTATATTTAATATAGTTCTTATCTACGGGAGTTTCTATTTTAGTTCTTAGTATCCCTTATATATTAATAGAAAAACACTCTAAAAAATAAACTTTACCATGATGTGTTATTAACAAGATTGTCATGCTGATGTGTCGCTCTCACAATGATTTGACTCCTATTTAAATTTTACAGAATTTGCCATTAGTCTCATACATTACATATATCACACAAATTGAAAAACAAAATTCTAATAGAAAAAGCAATTAATCTTTACATAATTATTATTTCAAATAAATTACTTTTATTTTCGTTTGTTTTCCAAATTAATTAAAACACTATTTAACATATTTTTGTATTTGATATTGGTCATAAGTGATTATTAGTGTATTAAAGAAAATAATAGTACAACTTCATATGAATATTTTAATAAACTACTATTATTTTCGTTTTCAAATTAACTAAAACACTAAATAGTATATTTTTGTATTTGAAGATATTTATATATATATATATATATATATTACTTACAACATAGTATCTCTTATACAAATATATATATATATATATATATATATATATATTTGTATAAGGGATACTATGTTGTAAGTAATTTATTTTAAGTAAAACTCATTATTATTAAAATAATCATTTATGTGTTTTAAAAAAAAAAAATAGATTTAATTTAAACTAGAATACTTCTTGGATTTATTTACACTAGCACTAAGGTTCGAATTCAGTTCTTAATCTAATTTATTAATTTTAAATAAATAAATCCTAACAGAAGATCTGTGTTTTTAATGCTATTATGGTTTTAATCTTAGATCTATTCCCTATATCCACTTTAGAAAATAGTTGTTGAGATCATGATAATATTATTAACACCGAACGAGCCATAAGCACAGCTTCATGCCTCCATCAAATGATATAAGTATATAATAAATTCATTTATATGTATTGTTCTTCCAATTAATTTGTTTTCAAAATGAAATTAACAATCACTAAATATATTCATTTTGGTTTTAAAATTAATCTGTTTTCAAAACGAAATCTTAAATAAATGCAACCACGACATTAAATCTGTAAAAGTTCAAAAAAAAAAATTCCAAAACCATATTTTCCTATAAATAGAGTGCCAATATCATCTTCATCCACAATGATTCAAAAAATCACAATCACATATACTTTGTTTCTGAATCAAAACACAGTCAAATTCACAAACAATACATAAAAATCGTAATTCTAATTTTAAGTGAATTACTTATCCTATTAATAATAAGTTATAATATCAAAATAATCATCATTTTATAGACTATTCATATTTCCATATAAAATCTAAAGTCATTACGCATTTTGACCATTACAATAGATTATATAGTTAACCCTAATATTAAATTTATTTACTAATTATTTCTCTCACATTACTTATCTAGTATTCATTTTATTATAAGGTTTTCTCATTGCCACGTATAAATAATTAAGCACATGCAGATATAAGTAACATCATATCATTTTTACGTACTTGAGAATAAAAACCATTTTTTTTTTTGATAAATTGTACAGGAACGATATTGAAGTCCCCAAAAGAAAATTGATAGTGATATTGATTTTGAATGATTTTAGTTAGTTTTAGACCAAGAATACGTCTATAGTTCACTCAATAACAAATATTAATTATTGATCATAAGCTAAACCAAATTTAAGAGAAACTACATCAAATTCAAAAAAAAAAAAAAACTGTTTCTAGTTTGGTTTTTAGTTGGGTTAATTTCTTCTACAAGGCTACCACAAACCTAAATCATTTCTGAACCTCAAAAAAAAAAATTAAAAAAAAAGGTTGAAATAATGCTGTATACGTCGACAATATTAATAATAAGTGGTCCAGAAATATTATCAATAAAAATATTTTGTATAGGAAGAATACAAGTTCCAGTTACGGAAACAAAAGTGATTCACGTCGACAATGTTATATGATTCTACGTCAAAAAACGATCGTTTAATTAATTGTCTCTTCTTCTCTCTATCGCTATATCATTTTACATGAATCCTTTGGCATTTCGTTGCTTGCTCCAGTGAAGCCAACCGTATTCTTCATAAGATTTCTCTATTACAAAAAAAACAACCGTATTCTTCATAAGATTTCTCTATTACAAAAAAAAAAAAGAATTTAAATTGCATTTGGAAACTATTATAATCATCAACCAGTCAATAAAATTAGGCTAATTAGTTTAGCAAAAAAAAAAAAAAAAAAAATTAGGCTAATTAACATTTCAGTTCATCTATCGATTTCTAGGTAAACCAACTATAAACCAACTCCGGTTTAAGATAAGACCAAACAAAGGCAGTTTCGTAATAATATAACAAATCATGTCCACGTAATCAAGTGAGTCATAACGTCAAGATTCTCAACTTCTTTCTATAAATTGCTTTTGTTCCACATAGAGAATCATCACTCCAATTTCTTAACCTGTGACATGATCTATAAATATCCTCAAATATTAGCCTCTCTAAGAATCAGTTCCATACATAAATCTTTTTAAGATTAAAACCTCAAAAGTTTTTTTTGATAAAAGGAAGAGAAGTGATCACGTGTGGTGACGCGTAGGATATGAAATACTTGTTGGAGCTCGTCGTGCCTTGTTTTGGTTCGCAACAGTTCCAAGAATCCGCCGCAACCGCAGAAGATTCGGTTTCAGACGAAACGCAAACGCTAATGAAACAGCGGAGGCGACGGAAACGCGTTAGAGTGGCTGGTCAACCTGGACAAGTGGCAGAGTGGAGACCGTCACTTAGCGTTATCTCTGAGAACAAACCGGCAATAACGAAGATATCGGAAAAGGACGAAGAAAAGAAGAAAGTTCGTCGGAAAAGTGAAGGCAACGGCGGCGGTGACGCGTCGTCGCTATCCGGCGGTGGTCATGTTCGTTTCTGTAGTGACGATTTCGGGTAACACATTTCTAGCAAATTTATATGATGCTTTTGTGTTAGTTAAGGTTAGGGTATATTTACGATAATAGAATTTTAGCCATGGTTTTAACAAAAAGTTTAGTCATGGTGATTAAAAAATGTAGAAACTTAATAATTTGTCGAGTATCTAGTTGTTATTAACAAAAATATTATAACAACGTCAATGTAATTTATAAAGATAAGTATGAAGATTATGAAAGATAAAATAGAAGATAAAGATCGAGTTAAGATGCTATTTTGTGGATAAAGATTCGATATAGTTGAGAAGTCAACATCAGTATGTTTGTTGTTTATTTGAGTAAATAGAAGTAGTCGTAAATGGGAAGGTAACCATAATAATATAATTAAAATATGTGATTATAAAATGGCAAAAGAACATAGTATAGCGATTAATGTTTTGACGTTTTTAATTGTTTTATGGGTTTTGCAGGAGAAATGCTTTTGAACCTGTGATTCCGGCATTCTCACCGACTCCGTTCATGTTTTGAGTTTAAGTTTGTGGTGAAATTTATGTGTATATACTATATATATATTAATAAATATGTTAATGTTAATGGAAAGATGTATCATTAATGTATATATTTCTTTGATATTACTAGTTACTACCACCGAAATCTAAACTTATGCAAAACTCAAACAAACCGAGTTTGGGCTATGCAACGCGTAGAGTACCAATATGACTAAGTCATGTCAGAGTACTGCATCAACCGAACACATTACACATACATCCAAACAGAAATTGAATGACGACTTTGTTTTCATATTTTAGAGGTAAAGAGTAAAGTTGTAAAAAAATGACGATTTACAAACAAATTATGGTATTGCGAGGAAAAGAATAACATGACTTTATTTGTTTGTTTCAAATATCAATCACTACAAATCTTTACAAAGTTGTTAAGGAAAAGAAAAGCATTAAGTGGCAAACTAGCCAATTTAGAAAAAAAAATTCCAAATTTTCTCCAAACTTATAATATTTGCCAGCTAATCTTTTGATCCTCTAAAATTAGTAATCAAACCTTACAAGTTACAATGTTTGGTAGTTACGAAAATCTTGTATCCAAATATTTTTTTGATTAGGTAGTGTTAATATGTAGGTTTTTTTAAAGTACTACTCAGTGAATGTATGATACTATGATTTAAAGAAAACATTTAAGTCTGTAAAATTTGTTTTATTTTAGTTACCAACATATTGATTTATGTCAGATTTTCTAAACATATTGACATGTACAAACTTATTGATTTTGAATGGTTGGTTCATTAATATGTTTTTTCTCCATCCAAATCTTTGTTGGGCTTTGAAGATTTGAATGTTGTATTGTGAGAGTCACAATTTCTTCATTTCTTGAGTGAATTTTTTTTGTGTGGCCATATTATGGGCAAGACCAACCGCCAAAGCCCATTTAGTTCTTTTAGTGAGTTCCTTATTCGACGTCAATCCAGCAGAACCAAATAGACTATACTAATAAATTTGCATGTACTTTTTTTCTTTTTTTATAAACCCTATCGGCTATCCGGTCGATCCCGGTAGGAACGCATCGAGGTGCTACATAGTAGACTGGTCCACCGTGTTAATGGTTAGGCTCTTACGGGCTACCACTCTACCTATTCCGAGTTTGGAATGCCTTCCGACTAAGTGCCAGGGGTAGTCAGGCCGTCTGCATTTCTGGCTACCAGGTAAACCAATTCGGCCTTGGCCCAACTGACAAACTTCCCAAACAAATGTGTTTTTGTTTCCAGGGATAATCGAACTCAGGTTTGGGAATTTCACCCTTTCCCAAAGCTTCCTCTGCCATTAGACCACGGATGCTTGAACAACTTGCATGTACCTTAATTATCTCAAATTTTTAAACCCTAAAATATATTAGTACTTACTAGTGTACTAAAGAAGGCGCTAACGCGTTTTTGTATCTTTAATCACATTCTCGCATGTAGGCTTACCTTTTTTTTCTTTTCTTTTCATAATCAATAAATCTCCAAATTTGTGGGTTATATATATAAATGTAATGCAACATATACGACTTATGTATTCTATACATGGAGAGTTGGAGACATGAGAACATGGGCCGGGTTGTACCGTGCACGTGGAGAGGACATGTCTTGCTTAATGATTATGCGACCATGGAACAAGTAAACTTTGAACTTGGGGAATATTTGCTCTCAAGTTATCAAATTCATCTTCTTTTTTTCCTCCCAAGTCCCAAATATAATTTAAGATCTCTCTTTTCTTCTTTCCCCTTTCTATTCTCATATATTGCCAAGATACCATGTAAATGTCTTCTTTCCATAATTAATACTTTTTTTTTTATCATGGTAGTTTATTATTTAATAAATGATAAATGAATACATATACAGAAACATTTGCCTTCAAACCTTTTCTTGCTTACGTCTCTTGAAAAAAAAAGAAGAGGTTTATGATCCCACTCTCTCCTCCGCCAACGTGAAAATAACATATAATCTACGCAAAGAAACATTATAATCTCGATAAAATAACAATATCCGATTAGTGTATATATATAAATGATCTCTTTCACACATGTTGTATATATAGATAAAGTGATCAAATACATTTTCATGGAGGATCTTCACGTGCTCTCTTGATTGTCTTGGCTTGGCTTAAGCCACTCTGTATAATTAAAGAAGTGAATTGTAAATTTATTTTTCTTTGTTTTAACCTCTACTGAATTTGATATTTTGTAAATATTAATAACAGAGAGAAATTTAGCATAAAAAATTATCCAAAAAAAAATAGCACAAAATCATTGCAGCTCGTTTAGCGTTTAGGGTAAAAAATTTAAAGCTCTAGACAAGAAAGAAAAATCTTAACTCTTAAATTATAAATTGTATTATTGAAGTGTTAGCAGAAGTGTCGTTTTACGTCAATCATTTGTGTGCCAAGTTTTTTCGTTTCGTGTGCTTGTGGTGAATATTGTTGTCCAAGTATATAAGAATTACTTGCGGCAGTAATCCCGGGATTTTAACTTTGTTTTATTCATTTTAGTGCACACAACGTAAATAATTATTTTACTAAATTGGTTTTAATTAAATCAATATATTGATATAAATGTTTAGAATCATGTCAGAAGAACTAAAAAAAACAAGTTAAACAGACTACTTCAATTTGATTTCACGAAACTGTTAGAATGTTGTGGATAACTAGGCAATATATTCATGTCATCTCGAATTAATTACATTGTCTTATTTTGTCTATAGCAGTTACATTTTGTTTGAAAATTTCATTTTATATTTATTAGGTTCATTAATTTGGATGAAAATTAGCTCCAACTAATAATCTTGAATGTGACATTAGGTAAGTTAGATGGATATATGTAACTGCTTTCTATAGACATATATAGTTTCATATTTTATCTTCTCAATCTCACCTATTAACTAATCTTTAAACTCTCAAATGATAAGATAAATCCGAGATTTGGATAACATAATCTTTATCATCAATCTATAATAATATAAATAATTTACTCTTATTTAACTTCACATATGAAACTCTCACTCTTGAAAACGTTAGAATTATACAAGGAATTTTGGTCTAATATGTCATATACTGTAGCAAAACTTACGGAAATTGCAACAAAACATTTGTTTTTCCAAATGTGCCATAATAGTAGACAAGACTTTGAACCGAAAATTTTTGGTAGACAAAAAATATTGTCTACCTTTGAAACAACAGATTGGGAAGATATTTGGTGGACAAACCTTTAAAACAACAGACTTTTGGTGGACAAGAATTCGAAACGACATACAAAAATTTGGGAAAAAAAATGTTGTCCACCATTATGGGACATTTGGAAAGATTTATGTTTTGTGGTATTTTTACTAAGTTTTTGAATAGTAAGTGACACATTAGTTAGACTAGATTTGTGACCCCGCGCAATGCGCGGGATTTTACTTATAAACTATTAACAATATAAGCCGTGAATATAAATATATATATTGAATTTTAAAAGATAAATCTATAATGACATAAACCTATTTATGAAATGATATATAACATAGATTTTATTGAGAATAATGTTTCTCTTGAAAAAAACAACAAATTTTTAGGTAACACGTGGTAAAAAATTAGTTGAAAAAATTCAGAGAAATATAATACAATCTCGACCATGTCATGTTCATACATCTTTTTGAATTTAGTCAATTTCTCTTGAAATTATTTCGCTGTCATTTTATTCGTCATATTCTAATATGCAGTCGTCCACCTCGCGACATTTTATCTCTTTTCACGTTCTTTTCGTTAAAATAATTAATTAAATTTTTGATTCATTATAAACTTACATTAAAATTATATGCTCTTTATCTATTTCATTTTTATATTTTATTTTTTCTTGTCTATTATAAAATGTTCTTTTTCCTACATATTAAATTTTATATTTGGATTCTTCCGATTCTCATACATTGCATTTTCCATGAAACATTGCACTCTAACGTTATTGTTTAAAGAAATCTTGTATCTAATTGTACTTTTAAATCACAATTCTTTCCTTAAATATATTATACAATTTTATATATATTTTATCTTGATTTTGGATACATACTTTTTTCTTGAAAAATAGATATTCTTATTTCGTGTAATCTAAATTCTATAGTTTACTATCATATAAACTTTTTTTAATCTAAATATTTTATAAATCTTGAAAAAGTTAATGTCTTTCTAGCGTGATAACATATTTTTTTGTTTTCTACTTCTCATATATAAATTATATGTATTTGAAAATTATCTATATGCTTCTAATTTTTATTCATATTTTTATCTTATATATTTTTGTGCTGTGTTTTATTAATTCATTAACTTCTATTTTTGAATTATCTATTTGTATATTAACTTCTATTCACATATTTTTGTGGGGAAAACCGCCATTTTCAACCCCAACTATTTGGGGGCGGGTTTTTCCAACCCAAACTAAGGTCCCCCGTCAATTTCTACCCAAACTCAAAACTAATTCAAATTCAAAACCTAAACTAATGAAAATTAGCCGATTTCAACACGACAGAAGACGGTGTTAGTTCGGGATTTAACGGCTGCTGAGTCAGCGATATCGTGGCATTGACGTGGCGGAAAAGCGGCCATTTTCAACCCCAACTATTTGGGGGCGGGTTTTTCCAACCCAAACTATTTGGGGGCGGGAAAAAATAAAACGTCGTCGTTTTCACTGACGTGGCTTCTGGTCAATGAAAACGACGACGTTTTATTTTTTCCCCTTCAAACAACGAAACGACGTCGTTCTAATTTTGGGGGAAAATTAAAATTAGGGTCCTTCATTTTCTCTCGAAACAGAAAAATGTTCGTCGATTTTATGAATTCCCAGGCACTGTAAACGGAATCTGAAAGAAATGTAGCAATAGCAAGAAAAAGCAAAATTTATTCCTGAATAGTTTGGTCTAATAATTGTGTCCGTCTAAAGATTTTGTCTTTCTTCCTGCAGTGGAATCATTGTACATACATTCTATCTGGAAACTTGTCTGAAATCAATTGTGTTTATAGTCTCGTGACCTGAATCATCATCACTATAATTCACAACAATTTCAATCCGCATAACAATTCATGAACTCTAAAGCTATGGTAACACACTGCCATTCATTAAAATTTCAACTCGACACAAATGGAGACAATACCATATTGTTTTAGAAATCATACAACCCCAAGATCCATCACATGGTAAGTAATACACAGTCGGACTATCGAATGATAGATCACCTTCGATATATAAATAGTTTTTCTCTCACGACCCAACTACAAGATTACATGAATATAGCAGCGGCTTGGGTTTTGAATTTAAATTAGTTTTGAGTTTGGGTAGAAATTGACGGGGGGGGGGGGCTTAGTTTGGGTTGGAAAAACCCGCCCCCAAATAGTTGGTGTTGAAAATGGCCGTTTTTCCGCCACGTCAATGCCACGATATCGCTGACTCACCAGCCGTTAAATCCCGAGCTAACACCGTCTTCTGTCGTGTTGAAATCGGCTAATTTTCATTAGTTTAGGTTTTGAATTTGAATTAGTTTTGAGTTTGGGTAGAAATTGACGGGGGGTCTTAGTTTGGGTTGGAAAAACCCGCCCCCAAATAGTTGGGGTTGAAAATGGCCGTTTATATTATATTAAACAATGTTATTGTTTATGAAAAAATATTTTCTTTTATTAAAAGATGATAATATAAAAGTATGTGAAATTTTTTTTAATGTTTCTTCGTTTAATAAATAAATTGAGTGGAAGTTTTATAAAGTCATATATATAATTTAAATTTTGATATCAATCAAAACGATTTAAATGGCAATTTTGTTTGAAATGCACCTATTAAATGTATTGGGTAAGGGGTTCGAATCTTTTTGGTAATATTTTATACCTATTAAAAATGTATGATAACGTGTACGCTGATGTGTCGCCTATGTGAACACTCTAAATGGAGTAAAAACTCTCTCATTATATATATAGATTTTTCATTATACAACTAGAGAGTATACGAAAAGTAAAATAGGCCGCGATACAGGTAATCAAAACCCTGGAAAATTCGTCGCGGAAAACCAAAAAGTCGCGACTAAGGAAGAATGTACGATCTGGAAGGATAAATTCATCCAATCATATTAAGTATAGTCATATTCGTGGGCCCATTACTCACACGACACAAACACAATTAACATTTTAAAATTTTTTATATGCAAATGCACTTTCTATTTTTGCGTAAAATATTTTATCTGAAGTCTACCACTTTTTTTTTTTTTTTTACATTTCTGTGACAATAATATAATTTTTATACGTTAGTCAATAGTCAAATTAGTAGATAGATAAGGATTTGTTTTATTACCATGAGCTTGTTACTCTTTTCTATATAAAAGACGAAATCTATCAACCACTAATTTTGTAATCGAAGGATATATGAACTATTCATACCAAACAACATAAAATTATCACATAAATCTTATTTAATTTTATATATGCTTAGAGGATATCGAAAAAACTCAAAATCTAGAGAATCAATTATAGGAGTAGTAACGTCATTTTAATTAAAGAGAGAGAAAAAAAGAAGCTTTCCGTTTCATTCTTTTAAAGTTTGAAGCAAACGTTGTTACATTTGTAAACCAAATTTGAATTTTCCATAAACTTTTTACTTTTAATACATTATAATATTAATAAATAAATAAATAAAATAAAGTGACAAAAAAAGCTAAATTTTGTTACCTTTTTATTTGTAATCGTTTTTTGTTAAAGTTTTATTTGTTATCGTTTGCTTGAAGCAGAACCTCTCTCTCAGTCTCTTTCTCACTCTTTGGATTCTTTTCTCTGTAATCAAAGCAAAGCTCTCGACCATTTTTTCTCTTCATAACTTTTCTTCCTTATGGATCCTCTGTTAAAATGCACCAGTTTCCTATAATCCTACACATTTCTACAGGTAAAATTCGATTCTCCTGTTTTTTTTTTCGTTGTTGTTGTTTTGTGTAGTAGGTGTGATTTTTTTTTTTTTTTTTCTGGGGATTTTTTGTTGAGAAAGTCTTCTTTGGGGTTTGGTTGCTGAAGAAGAAGACGAAATAATGGAAAAGTAAACGACGAAATTTAGGGAAATAGAGAGAATAAAGAAAGTTTTTTTATTCAAAGCAGCGTTTCAAAAGATTGCGCGATTCTCTAGATTCATTTTCAAATCCTTCTTCCTCGGGATCTAATCTATAGCCGCTGGATTTTAACTTCAATTTCTGAAGTTGAATTCAATCTCTGAGCTTCATGAATCTCAGTAATTTTATCTTGGTGAGGTATTAATTTTCTCGGCAAGCTTTTGTTGAAGAGTTCGATGGTCAACGTTAAGCTAATTTTCTTAATTGAGAAATGAGTTGTTGTCCTCCTCTTCGTCTGACATTGTCCCATTAAACAAATACTTCATCTCTGATCCATTATTATTTGTTTTTTTTTTTTTTTTTGCAGAAGCATATACAAGAGCTTGAGACAATAAGGAGGAAACCATTATTAGTATTGACAATGGAAGGAGAATCATTTGGTTTGATTGTTGGGATCTCATTAGGTTTGGTGATTGGTGTTGCTTTAGCTATTTCAGCTTTGTTCTGCTTTAGGTATCATAGAAAAAGGTCTCAGATTGTCAATAGTGGTTCAAGAAGAAGTGCTACCATTCCTATCAGAGAGAATGGAGCTGATTCTTGTAATGTAATGTCGGATTCGACCATTGGTCCGGATTCGCCTGTGAAATCTTCCAAGAATGGGAGGTCTGTTTGGCTTGAAGGGTTTAATAAGAGGAGTAATGTCATCTCTGCTTCTGGCATTTTGGAATATTCCTACAGGTTTGTCTCCTCCTCTGACAAGATTCTCTTGATCATAGTTTCCTGATAAGGTTATTTTTTATTGACTTAACTATTGAGGACTAGACTTCTCTTGTTATAGTAGTACTTTGGTCATTGTTTCCAAGTTTGAAAGTTCATTAGGAAGGGGAATGCTGGGATCTATGTCATGTTTTAGTGTGTATAGTTGGATATTGTGTTGTAGATATGATAGTTTCTTGCATTCTTGAGGTTATATACCGTTTCTGATATATGTTCTTTGGTGATTGATTCAGGGATTTGCAGAAAGCGACATGTAATTTCACGACTTTGATAGGCCAAGGAGCATTTGGACCTGTCTACAAAGCTCAAATGTCTACTGGTGAGATTGTGGCTGTTAAAGTTCTTGCCACTGATTCTAAACAGGGCGAAAAAGAGTTTCAGACAGAGGTAAGATATATCCATGGATTGTAGCTGATGATTCTGTATGATATTCATTTCCAAAGAACAAATTAGTTTAGTAAAATGTAGCATTAGGCAGACGTTTAAGCATTACAATAAGCTTTCTGAAATCTCTAGTACTGAATCCATAAGTTGTGTCATCTATAAGACAGGCTACATGAACCATCCATATCTCTTACTCTCTTAGTCTCTGCTTCAGTTTCTTGATAAACTCATCCACTCGCCTACTCTTTTCAGGTTATGTTATTGGGAAGGTTGCATCATCGTAACCTAGTGAACTTGATTGGATATTGCGCAGAGAAAGGCCAACACATGCTTATATATGTCTACATGAGTAAAGGAAGCTTAGCTTCACATTTATACAGTAAGCAACTACCTATTTCTACATACCATAAAAATCTGCCTGTCACTAAATGAATTGTCAATGAAATATTGAACTATTCGGTTTCTTTATGACATATTTATTGAATTGGTGGTTTAGACTTCACCTATTGATGAGCCTTCATAAAGATCTGAGATGCACTAAAATATTACTTATGATACAGGCGAAAAACATGAACCGTTGAGCTGGGATTTGAGGGTATATATTGCTTTAGATGTGGCACGAGGTTTAGAGTATCTTCATGATGGGGTAAGCTAATTTCTGAAACCATCCACCATCTTAATGCATCTCTTGAGAAACACAACCTCAATATCAATGCTTCCATTCAATTTTTTCCAGGCGGTTCCTCCTGTAATCCACAGAGATATCAAATCTTCCAACATTTTGTTAGACCAATCCATGAGAGCTCGGGTAAATATGTCTTCATTCTCCTGGAAATCTCACTCTATTAACCACTTCAAGTTTCTCATGGTGGATTGTCTTTTACTTTTTAGGTTGCTGACTTTGGCCTCTCCAGAGAAGAAATGGTTGATAAACATGCTGCTAACATCAGAGGAACATTTGGCTATCTCGATCCAGAATACATTTCCACAAGAACATTCACCAAGAAAAGCGATGTTTATGGCTTCGGGGTTTTGCTTTTCGAGCTTATAGCAGGAAGAAATCCTCAACAAGGTCTAATGGAATTGGTTGAGCTGGTAATATATGAAACCAAGAACTCCTCGAAATCTCCAATCGTTTACACATAAAGACTTAAATAAACTTCTGTTTGTTGATGACAGGCGGCGATGAATGCAGAGGAAAAAGTTGGATGGGAAGAGATAGTGGATTCAAGATTAGATGGGAGATTTGATTTACAAGAAGTGAATGAAGTTGCAGCTTTTGCTTACAAATGCATCTCTCGTGCACCTAGAAAACGTCCTAACATGAGGGACATTGTTCAGGTTTTGACTCGTGTTATTAAGGTGAGACATTGCAGAAAACGACAGAAGAATTCTCCGTCGCCTTCTCCGCGGCCTCTGCCTCCTCCGATAGTGGAGGAGTCAGAAGGTGAGCTAACCGCAAACGGATCATTACGATCAGAAACTCATCGGAGGGATAATTCCGTGGACAGTAGTATAGCTGAAGACTTGTGATTCTTACAACAACAAAAAGAAAAGTATAAAGTTTTTAAATTATTATCAACTCTTAAAATGTGATTTATCTTCAAATTTTTTTTGGGTTTTTAGTCTTTTGGTAGGAGAAACTCAACTATGATGTATGGTACTAGGTTGTCTATATTTTTCTTTTGTGAATGAAAAAAAATATTTTTTTACTGTTGAAACGAGTTCAATGATGTACCATATATGTTTGGGCTATAAAAATAATTGAATTCAAGGCCCAATTCAAACCTAGCCCAGTGATAGGACGTTCAATCGTTATCCATGTTTTATCGTCATCTGTCGAACGGATAGGACGAAGAAGAAGAAACAAGTGTGAAAGTTGCAGAGCAAGAAAAAAATGGCAACCATGTCTGCTCTTCAGAGCTCTTTTACTTCTCTTTCTCTATCCTCCAACTCTTCTTTCCTGGGCCAGCGTTTAATTTCTCCGATTTCCCTCTCCGTCGCTTCTCCGGTAACTTTAATTTTCGATTCCTGGTCGATTTAGGTTTTTAATCATGTTCAAGCTTTTAGGTTATGTAGTTTACATGGGTGTGTTATAGATTAGGTTCATTTGTTAGCTTTTGATATCCAAACCCATTTCAACAAATATCTCTCAAACGAGTGAAAAATTGAATCGATGAATTCTGCTTATTGGGATATGAAATTTTGTGCATTGTCTATGTTTTAGTGTTACTCTGCGTTATGAACATACATATCTGTTTAGCACTGGCTCACTTTTTTTACAGAAGAAAGTGTTCTCTTGTAAATTTGGTTGTCTTAAGGTTTTGGTTGAACACAGCTGCGAGTTTTTATTTGAGTCAGAAGAATGGTTTTTGCAAGTTTGCTTACTGCTTTTATGTTGAGTGCAACCTGCAGTTGGATGGTTCCTTATTACTCGGCTTATCTTCTTGTACTCATTTGCAGGTCAAGCCCGCGGAGAACCCGTGTCTTGTTCTTGCAAAGGTTAGTCCAAAGATCCGTTACATCATACTTTGTACTTTTCATTCTGCAACCACAAGAAAACTTGAGAGTTCTTCTACCCATGAGATTGGAAGATGAGTTGTTGTTCAATGATTTATGTGTTTGCCTTTTCAGCTCAAGCGTTGGGAACGAAAAGAATGCAAACCAAACAGTCTTCCGATTCTCCACAAAATGCATGTCAAGTTTGGAGATACGGTCAAAGTGATATCTGGACGCGACAAGGGTAAAATCGGAGAGGTCACTAAGATCTTCACTCACAACAGTACCATTGTGATCAAAGATGTTAACCTCAAAACAAAACACATGAAGAGCAGAGAAGAGGGAGAACCTGGTCAAATTGTCAAGGTCAGAAACCATATTTTTATTTTTGCAAGATTGGAGTGATGATTGAAGATTGTGCAAAATGTATTATGCTTTCCAGATAGAAGCACCTATCCACAGCTCAAATGTGATGTTGTATTCAAAAGAAAAAGACGTAGTAAGCCGGGTGGGTCACAAGGTGCTTGAAGATGGACAGAAGGTAAGATATCTGATCAAAACAGGGGAACTTATCGACACCATTGAGAAGTGGAAGCAACTTAAGGAGGCTAAGGATAAAGAAACCACTCAAGTTGCAGTTACCTCCGCATCTTAGCGTCTCATTTCTTTCTTCTTCAGTGCACTTTTGATATAATAGACCTATGCATTGGATGGAAGTATTGAATCCCTTTTAAGGTAAATTATAAAATTTTCTTCCTCATAAAACACCTTTTTGCTTTCTTAAGTAACCTTAGGTTGAACCTTAAAACAGGTACTTTATTCAAAATATATAATCTTTAAGAGTATTTTCCAAAATGAGTGTTTTGGAAAATAAACACTCATTTTCGTTGATTAAATTTGTAGATAAATATGATTGCATAATTTTTTCTGAGTGTTGAGTCTATATTGACTTAATCATCACCAATTAAATTGGTACTGTTCATATAGTCAATAACAGAGGATAAACGATTCTCTTATGCACGAAACACACAACTTTGTTTTATTGAAAATCTGAATGATGTAGTTACAATACAAAGACAACGTCTTTATATATAGACGTGAAACAATAAAAACAAAACAACATGAAGAATTGTGTCTCTTCTTTTTGTTTACGACTCTTGACAAATAACTAACTTATACGGATCATGACTCTTAATACATAAAACTTTAACACACCCACACTTAATTATATAAAGTAACAAATGAGCAAACTCAATTATCACTAACAATAACAATAAAAGTTTTACAGGGAACAAACCAACGCTTGAAATTGCTAAACCGTGGTCTTGGTGAAGTCCTGCGAAATCAGTTCAATTTTGGGTTTCGACACCTTCTTCAGCGTAGTCCGTTTCCACCTCACATAGAATACCAGTAAATACACGAGGAATCCGAATAGGATCATTAGATACAAGATGATGAGTTCCACTGACTCATACATCATGTAGATCGAAATTGCATAAGAACAGACGAGAGGCACCGTAATAAACATATACCACCGAGTATATGCTCTACCAACTGGTAAGAGTATAAATGTCAACACGATAGATGCGATAAAGGCTGTTGTATTGAATCCCCATATCATTAGAACGTCTAATATGATTGCATGCCAAGTAACTTCTCCCTTCATAGGTTTCGGGTCGGATACAGCCTCATAAGTAGCTGTGATTATCAAAGCTGTTATTACTAGAAGAGCGTTCCGCGATCCGTCTGTCACGTGACTCCGGTAACGTATCAGTTTCGTTTTGCAATATTCCCTAAATGTGACCGGTTTTCTCAGAAACTCAGACATTTTCTCAACTTTGGATAGACAGCATCTAGTCTTACCACCAGACTTTTTAATGATTTTCTCTGTATCTTTACTCATGGAAGGTCCATTGGCTCGTAAGACATCTAGGGCCGTCATGTCATTGTTGTTCTGGATGTTCCGGTCCAGTGTCATACATTTTAACAGCTTTTTCACTACCTGTATATAAATATGGATTTATATCTAGTTTATTAATTAGTATCAATATAAATATGATCATAATTTTTTTTTATTTCCCTTAGAGACCTATAAATGTTTGGACTGACCTTTAGAATGAGAACGTGTGAATTTGAAAGAGTTCACTCTACAAATTAAATGTAATGTCGTCATAAAATGATGAGTTTGTTAGGATAGAATCCACTACAATTTAAGATCTAACAGTGTTTCTAGGTCTATTTCTGATAGTACGTGGGTTATATTGGACCACATCCCAAATAGACCAGGATAGTAATTAACTTATTAGCTTAAAGAGATCAACCACTTAAACACCTTGACAATGATTACAGACGATAAAACAAAAGTTCAAAGAAGTTGAATGAATGAATTTTAAGAGAAAAAAAAAATGGAAAGTACATACCTTGTGATTGTTCGCGTTTGCGGCTAGGTGCAAAGCAGTGTCGCCATTACGGTCGCGTCTGTTCAGAACGCGAATCTCGGTGAATGCACCGGCACTATTGCGGCGTTTTTGCATCCACCCTGTGAGAAGTTTGAGCTCTTCAAATCTATCATATATAACCGTGATGTGTAAAGCAGTTTCTCCATTTACATTTGCATCTGTAATGCTTTCAGGACATGCTAGAAGAAACTCAGTAAGAAGTTCGACATCACCGTTCCTTGCCACAAGATGCAACGGCGTCATACCTGTCGTCGTTATAAGATAAAAAACAAAAACAAAAATTCTCTCATCAAGTAATTCTATATTATATGTATGTTTTAAAGTATTTTTTGTTAAAGATTTTGAAACAGGAACAGTACCTCCTCTTCCATGAATACGAACAAGACTGGGATCAAACTTGGCTAGCTCTCGTGCTAACTCAAATTGCTGGTTCTCAACAGCGAGATGCAACGGACTAAAACCATCCGCATTTAGCTTCTTTGCAAAGGATGGCTTCAGTATCATCAGTTCCATTGCCAAATCTATCTTCCCAGCCGAAGAAGCTGCATGGAGAGGTGTGTGGATGAAAGGTAAAACATCCAAGTTGTGAAGAATGTTTGGCTCCTCTCGAATAAGAGAGTATAAATCATGAACACTACCCGAGTGAGTTACCAAAAGCAATTTCTGTTCCATACTTGACAAAGAAAGAAAAATAATTGTAAGGACCAAGAGAGTAGTAGTACTGTCTTTAATTTAACTTATGGGGAGCATAGTTATATAGTGTTTTTCATTTCTGAGTAGTGAGTCTATTGACTTAATTAGCACCACTTAAGTGAGTCTATTGACTTAATTAGTACTGTCTTTAATTAAATTGGTCACTCGAGATGTTGCCAAGAAACTGGAAGGAAAGAACTCAAAGGCATGTAGCTTCTCACTTATTGCAGGATATAATCATCGCTAGGATACAAAAAAGTTGTCTTGGACTGGTATAGTAATGTAAGCTTTAGTGATGACCAACCGGACAGGTCATGTCCTTGGAGACAGGTTCTGTTCATATAATTTTAAAAAGTTTTGGGTGAGTTAAATATCTATGCTCAGACGAAAGAAAAATTAAGTATGTATGCTTCATAATTAGTAATTTAGTTCTCTCTCTTCACCTTAAATAATTAAGACAAAAATACCCCTATACAACATAAAGATCTTTAGTTGTATAGCACAGATACAGAGGCTAACCGAGTTAAGCAATTTATGGACTGACCACGTTATTATTGTCCGCGTTTGTCTTTCAGCCAAATATCATTACCAACATCTGTATTAGCAACACCTTAAGACAGAGCAAAAGATAAAAATTACGAGCTATAAGTAACGAAAACATTACAGAATAACTTAGGTATCGACTAATTTTTTTATTAGCATTTGCGTTACTCTGAATTCCAATAACTTCACCAACTTTAGGAGTACTAGCACCCTAAACAATGAATACAAAATAAATATACCGAGTTAAACTATATTATATTGCGATAAGTTTATAATTTATGTGATAAATTCACATTTATCATGTAAACAAATATATTATATTAGATATAAAAATAACGGGTTACATATAGTATAGTATTTGTGTGTATAATTATTTGATTAGCATGTTAATTAGTATAGTTTCATAGTAAATTCATATCTAATGTGTTCAGTGCATATTTATCATGTTAAAACCAGTAATCTTATTTATGCATAATTATAATAAAATATATATTTATGCATAATTACTCTTTTGCTAA